GACCTGAGCCGAAGTCAGACACTCAACCGGCTGAGCCACCCAGGCGCCCTGTTTTTTAAAATCAAAATTGTAAAAGTGACTGCCGAGGCCTGTGGTTCCTGGTTGTTCACAGTCCCAGGCTCTCTGCGGTGTGATACCAGGTCATGCCATGTTTTTCTGTGTCCTGCCTGTCCTCTGACGGCATTTCTGTGTGGGACCCCTGGGAGGGCTCCTCCTGGAGGATCGCTTGAGGGAGTGGGCAGGACCGAGGCTCTGGACCCTTGGCTGTGTCCTGCCGGGGCCACACCCTGCCCAAGCCCTGCTCCAGCCTCCCCACCCCCAGCTAGGTCCCCTCTGGGCCAGGGCTGGAGTTCTGCAGCCAGTTCGCCACGTCCTCACCCGCACCCCGGCCTTGGCTTCACCCAGTCAGGTCAGATGTCTCTCTGAGGCCCCTCTGGGCCCGGCAGCCTGGCAGGGCCCTGACACAAACCCATTATTCAAGGCAAATATACTGCAGCCCCCCCGCCTCCCCTGCCCCTGCTGCTGTCCCCTTGGCCTCTGGACAGGGAGAAAAGGTCAAGGTGGCAGGTGATCTGTTCTCCACCTTGTGTCCTTTATCCCCCAGATCCACCTCCAGTGACAAGCCCCTGGTTTTAGCCAAACAGAAGAGCCTTCAAGTAAAGACAAGAGGTTGCCTTTTGTGCAGGTTCTTGCATGCAGCTGCGGGGAGCACTGCAGGCAGAGTCCCGGGAGCAGGGTCAGGGAATAGCAGGCTGGAGGGAGTTCTGCCGGACAGGTGTGAGGAGGAGGAAGAAGAGGACTCTGAAGTTTGCTGTCAGCACACAAAGTGTCACCGGATGGGTGTGTGTCTGCCAAGGGGATGTGTGCACTGTGGCAGACCCACACAGCGGGGACCTGCCTCAGCCCCCCACAGCTCTCCTTTCTGGAGTAGCTCCTGTGCCCCACTCCTTGCCCCTAATTCCCCTTCCTTTCCTCCCTCCCAGCCCCAGCCCAAGACCCCAAGCCGCTCCAGGTTCGGGTCGAGCTGGGAACCTGCAAGCAGGTGGCTCCAGGGACTTGGCTGGGGGCAGGTCAAGAAGGCTGGAGAAAAAACCAGTTCAGCAGAGCTGAGCTGACTTCTGGCCAGGGTCCCAGGCGGCCCCCTCCCTGGGAGGAGGCAGACGGCCGAGGCACAGGCCTGGGGCAGGGCCCCCTCCTCCTGCCAGTCCAGTCCCAACTGACAGATGCCAAGGTGGTGTTTGCTCACTGGCAGAAGTAAACTTTCTTCTGGAGACAATAAAATTGCTGAGGGCAGAAGGCAGCAGAATAGGGCAGCATTTAACCCCCAGTGGCCTGGGCAGCACTGACAGGCTCCCAGTCCTGTCTCCTGGAAGCCTGTCATCAGAACCTACAGGTTATGGAGGCCAAAGGTGCCGACCAGCCACAAAGCAGGAGACGTGGAGGGGCAGAGAGCACACTGTCCTTGTGGGTCCAGCTCCTGGTTCTGCCGCTGGCTGGCTGTGTGGCTCCAAGTAAGTTGCTTAACTGCTCTGAGCCTTAGTTTCATGGTCCGCAGAATAGGGGAGTCACGCCTACCTCACAGTTTTGTTGGGAGGGTTCATGACAAAAAAGCAGTAGAAATACCTAGCATGCAGTCGGCCCTTAGGTCACATTTGAGCAAATGTGAGGAAGCTGAGACAGTTGATGCCCCCAGGAGAGTGGGTGGTAGGTCCCCCTCTACCCCGCTCAGCACACATACAGACCTTCTGAGCCCTACCTATCCCCATCCCTGGGGTGTTCGGCAGAGGGCATGGCAGAGGTCCGGGACCCTCCAAGAGAGACACCACAAACAAGTCAACCTCTCTTCCACCCGTTTGCTGTCGAGCCAGGGTCTCATAGTGGGGGCTGAAGTGCCCACTCTCTCCTCACCCCTGCTGCCCCATCCCAGAGCCATTCTGGTTGGCCAAGCAGAGACCAGGGCTCAGGGGCCCCTCGCAAGAGGGTTAGCACCCTGGCCACTTAAGGCAGAAAGCCCCCGATCTACAGCACAGCAAGAGGCCGTGGAGGATGCCACCATCTCCCCCTGCCTAAGTAGGTAGACCCTTTTCAGCCCCAGCCCTGCTCCTTCCTATGGGCCCCCATGTGGGTGGGAGGAGATGAGGGTGTTTCTAGCCCCTCCCAGGCCTTGAAGGCTCACTGCCTCTCTCCCATGGCCTCTACCAATTAATTACCCTTTTCCGTTTAGACTCCGCTCAATGCCACCTC